TGACAGTCAGTATCAGGATATCATCATATACACTATATTGACAGTCAGTATCGATATATCATCATATACACTATATTGACAGTCAGTATCGATATATCATCATATAGACTATATTGACAGTCAGTATCGATATATCAACATATACACTATATTGACAGTCAGTATCGATATATCATCATATACACTATATTGACAGTCAGTATCGATATATCATCATATACACTATATTGACAGTCAGTATCGAGATATCATCATATACACTATATTGACAGTCAGTATCAGGATATCATCATATACACTATATTGACAGTCAGTATCGATATATCATCATATACACTATATTGACAGTCAGTATCGAGATATCATCATATACACTATATTGACAGTCAGTATGGGATATCATCATATACACTATATTGACAGTCAGTATCGAATATCATCATATACACTATATTGACAGTCAGTATCAGGGATATCATCATATACACTATATTGACAGTCAGTATCGATATATCATCATATACACTATATTGACAGTCAGTATCGAGATATCATCATATACACTATATTGACAGTCAGTATTGGGATATCATCATACACACTATATTGACAGTCAGTATCGATATATCATCATATACACTATATTGACAGTCAGTATTGGGATATCATCATATACACTATATTGACAGTCAGTATCGATATATCATCATATACACTATATTGACAGTCAGTATCGGATATCATCATATACACTATATTGACAGTCAGTATCGTTATATCATCATATACACTATATTGACAGTCAGTATCGTTATATCATCATATACACTATATTGACAGTCAGTATCGATATATCATCATATACACTATATTGACAGTCAGTATCGATATCATCATATACACTATATTGACAGTCAGTATCGGGATATCATCATATACACTATATTGACAGTCAGTATCGAGATATCATCATATACACTATATTGACAGTCAGTATCGAGATATCATCATATACACTATATTGACAGTCAGTATCGATATATCATCATATACTACTATATTGACAGTCAGTATCGATATATCATCATATACACTATATTGACAGTCAGTATCGATATATCATCATATACACTATATTGACAGTCAGTATCGGGATATCATCATATACACTATATTGACAGTCAGTATCGATATATCATCATATACACTATATTGACAGTCAGTATCGATATATCATCATATACACTATATTGACAGTCAGTATCGATATATCATCATATACACTATATTGACAGTCAGTATCGAATATATCATCATATACACTATATTGACAGTCAGTATCGATATATCATCATATACACTATATTGACAGTCAGTATCGGATATCATCATATACACTATATTGACAGTCAGTATCGATATATCATCATATACACTATATTGACAGTCAGTATCAGGATATCATCATATACACTATATTGACAGTCAGTATCGATATATCATTATATACACTGTATTGACAGTCAGTATCGAGATATCATTATAAACACTATATTGACAGTCAGTATCGATATATCATTATATACACTGTATTGACAGTCAGTATCGAGATATCATTATAAACACTATATTGACAGTCAGTATCGAGATATTGTCATATTCACTATATTGTATTGTCAGTATCGATATATCATCATATACACTATATTGACAGTCAATATCGAGATATCATCTTATTGACAGTCAGTATCGATATATCATCATATACACTATATTGTCAGTCAGTATCGATATATTGTCATATTCAATATATTGTCAGTTAGTATCGAGATATCGTCATACACACATTGCCAGTCTGTATCGAGATATCATCATATACACTATATTGACAGTCAGTATCGATATATCATCATATACACTATATTGACAGTCAGTATCGAGATATCGTCATACACACTATATTGACAATCAGTATCGATATATCATCATATACACTATATTGACAGTCAGTATCGATATATCATCATATACACTATATTGACAATCAGTATCGGGATATCGTCACATACACTATATTGACAATCAGTATCGGGATATCGTCACATACACTATATTGACAATCAGTATCGGGATATCGTCACATACACTATATTGACAATCAGTATCGGGATATCGTCACATACAATATATCGACAGTCAGCACAATACTATTATTACCATAATAGCACCGCTGGGCATTTACAGTTTTTAATTAGTCAGTGACTTCGGGCGATCTTTGAAAATACACAGTGTTGGGAGTCAGTATTGTGACGTCATCAAAATCATTACACCACATCGAGTGTTATTCAAAGCGATTTTACGTGAACTCTTAATGGATTGCCACGTTTGTATTCACCTATGACATTGACGTCAGACTCAACAAATGAGATTAATATAATTATAGATGATTTATTAGATTAGATGATTCCTGAATGTCAACTAAATCACAAAGCGTTGATCTGTCAGTAATAAACTGCTTCATTATCCCCTTGGACTTTCAACTTGAAATTACAAAAAGTTCGCGTCATTTCGTAAAAATCCTTCACGTTTATTGTCGTTATTCTAGATATTTTCAAACTACGTCATGATATATTGTTCTGTTCAACTTGTTGTCCACTAAATGTTTAGATCGCTATGGAAATTCAGATAGGGGCAAGTTTGATCTGCGCTCAGCCTAGTTTCCATGCATGCGTGTGTTCCAATTCGTTCACAAGGTCGCAATTTAACGTCGCTGGAAAACGAGACTCGTGTATATGTGGAAGTAATAGAAATACAGTTTACAATAATAAATGAGCGTGGATGAACCCAATTCCCAAAATAGGTTATTCAGGCACGTCTCCCGAACTGAAATATGTTAGTTTAGAGTCTGAACATCACAATACAAAACATTCCTCTTGTTAATGTTTTATTCATCGACAAGTGAGAACAACGTGGCTCTGTATTTTTCTGCAATCACGCCACCCTCTGTTGCCAGTATTCTAGCTAATGTAAGATGTATACTTTCCGCCATATTTTTGTCGGTTTTCAGAGGTGCTTTTTTCAGTGCTTTTGCATTTCCACTACCATACATCAAACCCAGTGAGTTCGTTATAATTTGAAAGTTTGAGTCGGCCAATTATCACAAGAGCCCTGTGTCTGAATTTCACTCAAATGAGATGTTATAACAGCCAGGAACATTAAATCTGTAAAATATTTGCTTGCTTCACTTTCACACAAACAACAACCCCACCCTATGACGTCATGCACCCATCGCGAAACGCGTACGGGTTGTGAAATACAGAGTGATAACTTCGCAATACAGCAAATACGGGATATATATACAATGTCAGGTATCCACCGGGTTATAGGCACAGTCACATGATAGTAATTTTCTGCAAGCCCCTCGCAACGACTTATTGAACGAGTACAGTAGGGGGTTGACACATGAATTACAATACGTCATCCAGTTAAAAGTATGGTAAAGCACTGGAGGAATGGATACTCCAAACAGTCTATCCGCCACCAGAATCGTCCAAAACGGTAACCACATCACGAGAAACGTGACAATAAGAAGAAGTGTCCCTTTAAATGCCTTTATGTCGGCCTTTGAGAAGCCGTAGGTATGCGGATGGGGGTTTCCATGGTGATGCACGGTTGTGTTATTGTTGTCGATTCTACGGGAATGCTCACGTACAATCATCCATATTCGGCAATTAAAAAATAACAGTAATATTAACGGAATTAAAAATGTTAAAACGATTGATGTTAAAACAAGTTCATAATTAACGATGACCGGTAAACATCCCCCAGACTGGAGAGTTCTGTTTTTCTGGTCGGGATCTTCGGCAATACCGGCCATTATCGGGTAGAACGACTTAATTGCCTCAAGCACCCAACATATCAACACCGCTATCATCATTCGTCTACGCGTGACAATCTCGCGATATGATAACGGGAAAGTAATATATAAATACTTATCCAAACTTAGGAGCACCATGCCCCACACGCTGACTTCAGTTAAGCATATATCCAGGCTTTTCAGTATTTTACAAAATGCCGACCCAAAATACCAATGTCCTTCAATTTCGTTAATTACTACAGGTGGCAAAAGTAGTACACCTACTAAAAAATCGGCGGCGGCGAGGTTCAAAATCAAACAGTTAGATATATTACGACGAAGTGTTCTGAAAATGAGCAGGGCGGTGATAACCAGTAAGTTGCCAGCAATGGTCGCCAGAGTCACTATTGTTAATAAGATTCCAATCGCTATTTTCTCATTTACTGTGTAACCCACAGTGTTGGCGTTCTCGGTGTCGACAACCGCCAAGAAGGAAGACGAATTGTTAGTAGAGCTCATGTTCGGATTCAGCTGTGAGTCGGCGCTGCAATGTAGTACTGATGGTGTTCTCTTCGGAATTAATCACCCCGACACTGTGCAGCGTGTATCTATGGACCTCAATTAAATGCAGACCTGCGTATGTACTCACGGAAATCATTCTAAGTGATTCGCTTTAAAAGGCATGTCAGATCCAACTGACTTGCTTGTTGATTTTTTCCAGTCACGCGGCCAACTGTATAACCGTGTCCAATACGTTATGATAAAGTTGTTTACGCCAGGCAGCATTTGCTTTGAGATCATATCCAGTGATGTGGTAAACAAAGTCACATCCCACGAGAATTTTTAAGCTTTCGGAATGTGGCGATAATACCGTGAACGATTGTCGTACTGTTCCACGTTGGGGACGAGACTGCTATTTTAGTGATACCGATGTTATATACCTACCCAGGGGTACATTTTTGTTGCAACCCGTAGTCTTGAATCAGCATTAATGGTATGTCCAATCTGTTCACTCTATTAACTCGATGACCCGCCTTAACGAAGAATGTTAAGTACTTCAATTTGTATTTTTGAGTGAGTCTGCGCCAAGCGGAAAACATCCATCCTCCGATTCGTCAATTTCTTTAATTTATAGCTTGTTATCATCTGATGAGAATTGCATCCGTTTTGCCCTCATTCCGCTCATTCGTAATCCCAGTTCGATAATCGCTTACTGGACGATGAGTGATGCATTGTACAATGTGATACCGACTCCCTGTCACGTCTCTGACCAGTCTGTCACGGCTTTGAGTTCTCGGTGTCACGGGCACGGATCGTTCTCTTTGGATATTGTTAGCATACTGCGATGTTTAACGAACGATACTTCAGCTATGTACTTAATTTGTTATGACAATATTCTTTAATGGACTTCAGTAATTATTCTACATCGGATGAATGTAAAGACGTACGGTTGACTTGCTGAGTGGCAGTTCAAACATGTATCTAAGCTCGACTGAATTTTGTAATGAGATTTAATTATTGGTATTAATAACTGATTATGGATACTAATCGGCGAAGTTCACTCTGCGCCCGCGCGTGACGTCAAAGTTCATACTTTATTGTTATATCAGGTGAATTTAATTTATTCACACACGTACTAACTGATAAATAGCCATTCAAAATAATCAAATGAACCTTATAACTCGATGACATAATTGGTTATACGCTTTTATTTTACTTGTAAGGCACCACAATTGTCGTATAGTGTGTCGCATTTCATGTAAACAAACAAATCGAATGTGTTTTACACGCGTTCACGGCACACGTCTAGTGGAACCTACGTCGTACACGACGCCGGCGATAATAATAACGCTTAACTATTCAGTAAATACTATATATCGTAACCCATTCTTGCTCGGCAAGCGTTTAGTTCCAGCAGGGCATATTTGTTGCATGTACAAACTATATTCAGAATAATAATCGGGATATGCAAAATTCAAAACGTAGATTGTTACAGTTCATTAATATCGGCAGTGGAATGGTAGCCAGATGACAGCGATATGAAACAATATTTACTGCTTATTTTCTTGTTGTTCACATTTGCGCAGTATTTGAAACACCCCACTGTTCAACGTTTGCCATAATCGTTTATATGAGAAAATATATGAGAAAATAATATTAGAATAAGCTACACGTATTGAGTTGAGCATGTCCATCTTTTTATTTGATCTTTATCATTTTTAAGGATAAAGGGGAACAATTGAGTATGTGATAACAGAGTAAGATATACGTCAGTTTGTGTAATCATCGAGTAGAATCAAAAGTCGACTCACTTTCTTCATCACTAAAGAGATTTCCACTTCGTGTTTAATGTGTGTGATACAAGTCATACAGATGATGTAATAATGTCTTTAAATGCCGCTAGCATAAACGATCTGCCGATTGCCATTTCCAAAAGCTGATAAAGCTCGTATTGGATTGAATTGGCTTTGTTCTACACTTTGTCATTCCCCATTTCTGTTCACTGTAC